TAAAGTAGGAACAGTAATAGAAGCAATGATGATGTCAATGTAATAATAAGAACTCTTTTTGAGCATTTACCATTGCTAGGCAAGTTTTAAATATGATACAGCTTCTAGCTCAGTTAATACTCACATGAGGTAGATACCACATTATCCCCATTTCAAAAATGAGGAAACAGGTCAGAGATTAAGCAATCTGCTTAATCTGACACAAAGCTACTGTCAGAAAATATGAACATCTGCACATTTTACCCCTAGAGATCATGTTTTTAACCACCGCTCTCTGTAATTAAATAATCTGATAACCTCTTAAAATGAACAGGGAGTGCTTACCCAAATTCATTTTCCAAACAAAAGAGTGGTTTGGAGACCAAAAAAAAGGATCTATCTTGACTTTTATTAGGAATATTTCCTCAACCAAGCTAAGGCTGAACACATTTATGGAGAACAAATTTAAAATGTATTTAGCTGTGCTTTTATCACTTTGAAATCCCTCACTTGTTTGAACACCACAAACAGTGGTAACAGGATGTAACCTCAACAAACTAATAAATATTTTAAAATCTTCAGGTGGCTGGGTGTGGAGGTTCATGCCTGTAATCCCAGCACTATGGGAGGCTGAGGTGGGAGGACAGCTTGAGCCCAGGAGTTCAAGATCAGCCTGGGCAACATAGTGAGACCCCGTCTCTAAAAAATAAAATAAAATCTTCAGGTAAAACAAACACATTGTCCATGTTTATCACTAAGTAAATGAGGGCAAAATAACTGAAAGAGGTTGAATACCTTTGAAAAGTTTCAAATCAGCAGCAAGAAATGGTGGAAACAAGATTTTCCTTTTATGATAAACTAAAACTCTGTTCTTTCAACAACACTGTAAGATCTGCTTTAATGACAAACATTAAAAAAAGCCATCTGATTCACATAACAAATCTAATTTTGGATAGCTAAAGGTGTACTACCTACCATCTCACTGAGTAATTAACAAAAAGCAGGCAACCCCCAACAATTTCTGGAGCACAAGCTGATTTTTCAAATCATCTATTTCAACCTCACAACTTGCCTTCCCTGGTAACAATGATCAATGTGCTAGGTTTCCAAGCCAGCCCACAAAAGCCTATAGGTCCATAAGGTTACAGAAGTAAAAGGAAACACAGAACCTGCGGAGCAATGTTTCTATGAGAAAATCCATTTAGCATTCCAGCTTAGGATAACAGCAACTACCCCTGCCCCATTCAGCTCTGGAAGTAGAAAAAGGAAATCTTCCCTTCCCAACTGGGAATCTGAGCTTCCCTAGGACCATAGGCCTTGGTTTCTATACGATCAAGGCAGAGCAGGAGTAAAGGCAAGAACCAGATCAAAAAGGCAGAGCTGGGAGGGAAGATCAGGGATGAAGAAGGCAAGATCTCCTTGGGAGAGAAGGATGGAGGGTGGGATGGCAGCTGAAAGCAAGGAAAAAGTGTGTGGCAGGGGCAGGAGGATTGCTGAAGACGATGTGAGAACAGTGCCTGTTCCTGCAGCACATGGGCCTTTATAAACTTCCTTCCTTGATGCCTAAGGAGAGGGAAGGAGAAGACAAAAAGAAACTGTAGAAGGGTCTTGACACTGTCTCCCTCACTCTGGCTATTCTCATTCTCCTTTTCAAGGTAGAATGGGGTGGGTTAAAGAGTTTTCTTTGCAGCCTTTTTGACCTAAAGCACAAGAATTCAGGAAAGCAGAGTGAACTGGAAGAGTTTTGGTGCCTTCTTTGTCAGTGTCCACCCTGTCAAAGACTTCAGTGTTAACTGAGAACTAAGGGAAGGCTGGAGATAATGGCAGAACAGCATCAGAGAGGAAAGAAAGGAAGGAGAGAAATTTGAAGTAGGGTAGGAAGCAGGATATTGGAGAGTTGGACAAATAAATTAATAGAACTGACAATGAATTCAACTATAGTAAATGTTATTTTGTATTAATTCAGTTTAGCAATTCCAAATATTTCATCAGGTCCATTTTACTTTTAGACAAATATCTGTGGCCATGGTAATAATTTAAGGTTTATTATGCAGAAGGTATGAAAATAAACTTCTAAATACATGAGACATTTCCTGGTGTTTTTATCTTTATATAATGGAAATATAAATCATTTCAAAAGGCTTTTTTTTACTTGGTAAATACTCAGTTACATTATCATTTGTCAATTGTTTTCACCCTAGTAGCCCAAATATCATGAGTAATTACCTTCACGAGTAAGGAAGTATATTTAAATCTCTCTTGGGAGTATTAATTATAATAAAAAATTGCTCGTTCAGACCAAAGATTGTCCATCAAGACTCCAAGGTATCATTTACAATACAGTCCCACAGTCCACATAACACACATACATGCTGTTGTATACTGAGAAACACAAGACTTCTTCTTCCGTTTCCATGAAAATATGACTACTTAACTGAAGGCCCCGAAACAATTTACTTCTTAAAAGATGGAACAGCAAATCCCAAATTTCATAGTAATTTTTCTAGAACTTCCAGCTAGAGACAATTAATTAGATAGGTAAACCTGACCAAATCGCCTGATGGGGGATGAGTGCCAGACATTTAGCATTTTTTTTTCCCTGATTTCTGCAGCTGGTCTTCCAGTTGAACTCTATCCAGATGTGAAGCCTCTCTCTTGGGCAGGGATAAGGGCCAGGATGGCAGACTCAGCAGTGTATCAGAGATGCAACAGCAGAGACCAGTGGGAGAAAAAATGACCATAGCAAGATGTTCCTGCTGTTTCACTAACATCTCTGATACTGCCTGGGAATCTGTGAAAGGCTTTTAGTCTCTAGCCTCACAGGAGATTATGCTGGATCCCATAATAGCTGCTGTATTTTCTGCAAACCATGAACTGGGTCCAAAACCTTCATATCAAATTAAAGAGAAGAAAACAGGGTCAGCTGTCAAATACTCCACTTGCTGGAGAAGTGTATGTGTATACCTCCAAGCTCTGATAAAGCAAATTCAAACCCCTATAAATAGTTGCTATTTTATTTTAATAATTTAATTTGAGGTATTATTCAGGACAAGAATAAACAAAATATTTGATCTTTGAAGTATCTTGGGCATGCTGAAACAGGAGGCAAAGTTACTGAAAACATCTGAATCTCAGACAGGTCACTATCAGCTATTAGGAATCTTTACAGATAAGCAGACTTCTGCTCAATTGTTACCTCTGGCTAGAAAATGGACACATCTGAAAAGAAAAAAAAATGAGATTATCTTGAGCCAAGGACACTGAAAGCTTTCAAGATAACCAACAGAACTGAAAGGTTTCTTTGTAACAAAAATGTTCATTTTCATAAAATGTTTATCAGTCAGCACATAAACTTATGCAGAGTTTGGTAGAAAGAATACATGCTCTAGAATCAAACAAGCATGGGTCTGAGTTCCAGCTCTGCAATTTACCAGCTATATCACCTCCTCAGGGAAGTTACTGAAGAAAACTGGAGGTTAGTGTTGTTATCTGTGCAACAGGGATAATGTTATCATTAGCACAGGGTAGCTATGAGGATTAAATGCAAATGCACATTGCCCACCAAGCCCAGTGCCCAAATATAATCAACATTAGCTCTGTCTGCTCCAACCCAAAGCGTACACAGTATGGTTCTGTAATTAAGGAGAAGACTGCGTCAGATAAACATATGAAAGAAAGTTCAGGGTGACTGAACATATATGTTCTGTAGATCTAAAGATGAAAATCACATATTTAATATTAACCTTCACTAAAGTCTAACTTTCCCTTGATTAAGCTAGTTGGAAGCAAATGGGGAGGGGATCCCTAAAGTTGTAAAAATTCACATCACACACTGATTTAAAATTATATATATGTATACGCTTGCATTCTTCCAGTGTTCATAAAAAGACACCACTACAAAACTTAACATGGTAATGGTGCATTTATAATTTAACACTGCAAAATTAAACTCTCATCTCAAAAACCCTTTATTGATCAAAATGTTTCTTTCTTCTTACATATGTTCTCATATATTATTGCAAATCATTCCTAAAGCAAAGAAAAAAGTAATTCCTCTTATCCTTCCAAAGTGAAAAAGTGTGCAAAGGAAGCTCAGTTTGTCAAATCGGGTTTTTTTTCCCCCATTCATTCTTGTTCTCTTACAAACCAGAAGTAAATATATTACATGCCAAAATTACTGTCTGACTGACAAACGTCACTGAAGAACACATCGAACTGACAAGCCCTGTCTGGACCAAAGGTGACAAGTTTTCTTAAAGAATTTAAATAAGTTACGTTTCAGTAAAGACAAAAACGCTTTATATTTTAACGCATCAACAGTACGAACTTCTGATTTTATATGCAGCTTACTTTATACCGCACCTTGCCCCTACACCTCAAATCCTGTTTTTATGCATTTTATGAGCTGGCACACGGTAGTAAACTATAGAACTCCAACTGGGAATAACTCTAATTTGTTGCTGGACCTCAAAGGACTTATGTGATCTTCTTAAACGAACGTAGACAATGTTTCCTCCTCACTCAACACCTACCAACATCATCTGCAAACCTCTTCTACAACAATTCTTACTATATTACTACTAACCTCCACATCTCTCAACACCCTCAACAGCCCCAACCTTGGTGCTGCTAGTCCTCATCCCGAAACACCTTGCTGGAGCTTAAAGCCCGTCCACAGAGGCTCACTCTTCGCAATGAGTGAGTCCGGCGAGGAAGGGCATCATCCTCTCCGTTCGCGGGGAGCGAAGGCCAACCAAGACGCCACCCCACCCCGGCCACTCCCTCTCCCCTCGGCCTCCCAGGGCGTCCGGGGCGGGCGCGGACGTGCCAGGCCCTGCGCAGACCTCCAACAGCTCCGCAGTTCTCGGTGTCCGCCGCAGCCCCAGGCCGAGCCGAACCCCCGGAACACCCGCAGTCGCTCACACGCCCACAGTCCCAGGCGCAGCGTCACCAGGACGGTCCCGCGGGCGCCCCCGACGCCCCGGCCCGGGCAGGTGCCGGTTCTCCTCGCGGACACTCACCCAGCGGCCACTGCTCTCCGTCCGCCGCAGCCACCTTGTCCTCACTCCCGTCGCCTGCTCCCGCGGGGGGTCCGGGCCGGCGCCGCTTCCCCGCCCGACCCCCCTCGGGTGCGCGCAGCGCAGGGCCGGAATCCGGTGTGAGCCGCCGCCGCCGCCGCCGCCCCCTTCCCTCCCTCCTCCCTCAGTGCGTCCCTCCCACCGAACCCGCCTCGTATTTCCTGGATCCGGTCTCGGTGAGAGCTTGGCAAGCAAACTTGTCCGGCGCCGGCGCTCGCCAGGCACAAAGATGGCGCCGCCGGGGACTGCCTAGGGCGATCTCGCGAGGCTTCCCCCACAGGAACAGGAGGGCGGGGGCTCACAGGAAAGGTGATAAAGTAGGGTAGTCTGAGCAAACGCTCCCATATCGGAAATGGGCAGTACCCGTTACGAGAAATGTTGCTGCGCCTGCGCTCGCAGGGGATAACGCATGCCCAGAACAGCTCCTCAAGTAGGACCCAGTTCACCAGGTTTTACCTGTTTCCTCTAAAGAAGTGGGGCGGAGGAGTCGGGAGTGAAACCCTGTGAAGGGCTTGGCAGGACCGGGTGTCAAAGTGATAGGCGTCCCTTAAGGCTTGGTCATCCCGCAGGAGCCCTAAAGGCCAACACGCTTTTGCGTCCTCGGGAGTTCTCCAACCCTTTGCTTGTCCCTATCTGCGCTGTCACCAAGTTTTGTTTGCAAAGCCTCAGCTGCCCCTTCTTAATCCTGTTGTTGGTTCACATTATTGGTCAAGAGGTTGCTGTATGTTTGCAGCTGGGCTCACAGCTGGCAGCCACAATCCTCGTTTCTCACGTTACCATCTTAACTTTCGCTTTCATTTTGGTGCTACATGAGCTTTCCAAATCTCATACTAATAAATTCCCTTTCCTGTTTTATTTTTCTTCGCTCATTCATTTATTCATTCAAACGTGTGTAGTTCAATTTCCTATGTGCCAGATACTGAGGAAACAGATATGCTCTTAACTCAGGGAAGCTACTGTCCTGGAATGGAGATGGATGCGAAAAAACAACGATGACAGTTTAGCACAGTAAGTTCTATGATAGAAATGAGTAAACAGAGGAGTGACAAATATGGGGAGGAAGATGTCAAGAAATACTTCAAAGAAGAAATTCTTGAAAGGTGCCTCACACACATAGAATGTAGTCCAGTGAATCAGGATGATGTCTGGAAACAAACCACTCCCATTATTTCAACCAAGAGAATTAATATAAAGAATTGATTATTAAACCATTGAAAAAGCCAAAAGAGAACTCTTAATGTATCACAGAGGTAGTGACTGCAGGAAGCAGTAACTATGCCTAAAGCTAGGAAGAGGAAGGGTAGAGGTTGGGATTATTGAGACAAACAATTATTTAGATAAGCTATTTAGACATTTAGAGGGGGGTCTTTGTGGAAGTAAAACTCAGAACTCTGAGAAGGGAGTAGCATCCACTGATGCTGGTGTCTCTGAGAGGGGCTCAAAGTGCTTCATCTGCAAGTGTAGGGAAACTGCAAACTGGATCCCAACTGCTGCTATGGAAAGAAAGTGTCCCCTGTCCCTGTGGGAGTTTCCTATCTCCTTCCAGCCTGGGGATAAGAATGAGACACATGGATTACAGCTAAACTTGACCCACATCTTGAAGCAGAGCAGATCCAGTGTCAAGAGCCACTCATTTTGGAAGCTGGATGTGGTCTGAAAGGGGGCCATTCACTCCTGTCACACACCCCACATAGTGGGCACCATTGTGCTAAAGCATTTGTAGAAAGTCTGCTTCAGGTTCAGGGTCTTGTACCAAGCAGAGCAGCTCCAGCCAACTTGCAAACCCATGAGTGGGAAATAAATGAGTATTGTAGTATGGTACTGAGACTTTTGTTTATTATATAGCAAAAGTAGACTAATACAGGAGCTCTGCTCCACAAAGTGAGCCATGGTTTGTTTCCCTCTGTCCTCTTGCTCCACCATCCCTAGAGTGTTGTCCTAGTCTATGTGGTCCAGAATGGCTCAGCACTGCATCACATTCCAGTTATCAGGAAGGAGAAGGCTACCCATTTCCTTTAAGGCCATGATCCAGAAGTTGTTAGCATTACTTATGTTAACAGTCCATCAGCCGGAACTTAATCACATTGTTACATCTACCTGCAAGGGAGACTGGGAAATGTGGCCTTATTCTGAGCAGTCCTATATCTAGCTAAAAATTCTCTGACGTTGGGAAAAAGTTTGGGAGGACAACCAGAAGCTCCATAAAATAATCAAAATTTAGAACTTGATTTGAAGTTATATCTTGTCTTCTCTCTCAGTTGGCTCCTGCCACCGGTGAGAAGCTTGGAGCCAAGGAAGCAGGTATAACCCTTCTCTATCTGTCCCTTAGGCTTCTACTTCTCCTACCCATCTTGCTAACCACAGCTTCTTCTCCTCCAGGGGTGAAGAGGGTAGGAGTGAAGGTGGGCAAGTTATTGCTTTACTGATCCTGTTGTAAGACGTTTTTGTCCTCTCTGGACATGGAAGATACCTAAAATTGGCTCTTTGGCTCATGATTTCTTTTGTGTGTTCTTCTTGGAAGAGTCAATAGTACATCCCAGGACACAAATGATGCTCTTTCCTCTGTCTGGCCTCTATCTCATCAGCCCTTGGTCTCTCTTACTTTTCAGTGCTGCCGTAAGTCCTCTCTTGCTTGTCAATGCCTTCTATGAGACTGGCATCCAAATGCTGGCTCTCATGGGGTGAGTATGATTCTTCAGGACACTCTTCTCTGCACAGTTCTTAGATATGGACTCAATCTTTTCTAATTTCTTCTCAGCCCCTGACTCTTGTGGAATACCCATAGCTTCTTACTGCCAAGATCCCCTTACCCTTTTGGTAGGGCCTTTGACAGGGCACAAACAAATGGCTCAAACTGTTTTGCTTTCTGTGACACTCACCTGATCCATGGGAAACTCACATATCCTTGCCATGCTGAACAACAGACACGCTGCCCTGTCATTGCTGCTCCAGCCAGTTTCCTGCCTTCAGAATTCTGATAAGAGGCAGGCAGCAGTGGTTCTATAGTAACACAGGCCGCCAAACTCCAAGGATACAAAGCAGGCTCTCTCTAAAAGTCTCTCTCCAGGTCGAACATACAGATAGCTACAGTTCAGTAACCAAGCATCTGGAGGGTGATACATCTTGAAAACATCCCTAACTCAGCTCTCGGGGGCCCTCTCACTCAGCTTCCCCCTTCCCAATGAGAGAGAAAATCTGAAACATTCCCTCAAAGATGATAATGGATAAACATTTCCTGTGTAGTCTTCTTTTATTTAGGCTGGAGAAAGTGTTTGAGTGATAGTCATAGAACTGGTTTTGCCACCTTTTGGTAAGTCCTGCAGGGAAGGGCCTAGAAGCTCTCTTTAGAATGTGATAGCACTTAGTATGCATTCTCTTCACCTGTTTCGGACACATCTTATGTACCATTTCAGATATTTTTAGCCTATTGTATTGCCTGTGGTATCAATAACCTATTGTCATATAACAAACCATTCCAAAACATAATAGTCTAAAATAATAATCATTTTATTTGCTCATTATGCAATGGGTCAACAATTTGGGGTGGGCTCAGCCGGGCAGTTCTTTTTCTGATCTCACATGGAGTCACTCATGGTGACAAGAATAGAGGCTATTCATGGGACCAACAACATCCAGTGTCATCCCCAACTCCAAAGGGTATGGTCTAAAAGCTAAAAAGTTAGCTTTTAGACCATTACATGAGCTTTTGGATCATTACATGAGGCTGTCTGCTTCTGAGTGATTATAGCAATGATAGAGAGCATGTGTAGTGGATACTGTGGTGCTCTACCAAGATCCCTGCTTCAGGGCAAGGCCCCAATCCCTAAGTTGTTAGGACTGTTGGTTCCTGACAGCTTGCATCTCTGTCTTTCACTGGGAATTGCCTTTCCTTGCAGAGAACTGCCTCACAAAGGTTACACACTCTCACAGTGGGTAGCCCACAGCCAATGACTGGCTGATATGGAGAAGCAAAGATTAGGCACCCTTGCCTTAATATGGAACAACTATGAAGGGCCATTGTAGCTTCAGAGCTCCATGTGAGATATGCTAAAGCCTTGGCTGCAAACACATCACAGGTCAGCTTCTCCCTCTGTCCAAGCCTATCTTCCTCATTTCCTTATGGGTGTATTTCCCAAGAGAATTTCTAAACCTTCCACACTGAGTTCTTCATCTCAAAATCTGTTTCCACAGAACCCAATCTAAGACTTACATATAGTGAACCTATGTATAGTGAAGTAAGTTGTTTTACTGTCTAGCATCTACTAACCCTTTTGCTAGCAATTGTCCCAGATAGCCTTCGGTGAGGATTGGAGAAGACTGCTCCTCCTTTTAAGTGTATGTGCTTCTCCTACGATTACTTCAACTCCAGTTCCAAAGGTGATCGTATTACTCAGTCCCGGCCAATCAGAGCCTCAGACTTCTCAGGCCACAGTAATTGGCTCAGGGATGGGCACATGACATGGTCAGAGACAATCAGATGCCATGGACTTTTGCTGCCCCATCTAGGCTAACACTCTCACTTTTTCCTGAGAAGATAGAAGATCTGGAGTTGCAACAGCCATCTCATGACTGCAGTGGGAACTCTGTCTAAAGAATGGTACCAAGCCAAAAGAAGTGAACTGAGAGATAAAGTGAGAGAGAAAGGAACTAGGTTTAGGGGACATCATCTGAACCCCCGCATCATGCAGTACCTAAAACCAGCCCTATCTCCTATGCTATTAAGTTACATAAACTAATACATGTTTCTTTTGCATAAGCTAGTTTGGGATACATTTTCTGTCACTTGCTAACAAAAGATTCTAAGCTTGATATATCATGAATGAATGAGCTTAAGAAATACACGGTTTGAGCACTCAAGATCATGATTGAGTATAGGGAAGGCAAAGTGACCAAAAATATTTATATTCTGTGTTAATAAAATGAATCCAATTTTTCCCTAGTGCTTAGTACTCAACATATAATAAGGACTCATGTCATAAGTGTTCAATAACATCTGTTAAATTAATTGTAATTCTACAAAAGGAAACAAACCTGAAGAACCTAAGATGACACAATGAATTTGGACAGAAGCAGTATTTA